GTTTTCCAGATATGACGTGTTTTATGATTTCTTTTTAATTTTTCAGAAAATTTAGACTTCAAAATCCAAAGAATTGAATTCCCAACCTTGTAGTTGGGTACTGCGAGGGTACGCTCAGGAGTTCCAAATTGCCATTCTTGCGTCCAAATGCGACTGCTCAATTGCTCCTAGTTTTCGAGTTGTCTTTGTTTCATTTTGCCAAGAATTTAGATATAAAAAGTTCCGCAAAATTTTTAAGTTCCCATATCTGTAGTGAGGCTCTTTCAGGGTACTCTCAGGAGTTGCAAATCTTGCGTCCAAATGCAATTGCTCAATTGCTTTTAGTTTCTGAGATGTGACATTTCTCAATTCATATTGAAATATTTCAAAGAACTTAGATATGAAAAACTTGAATATCTTAAAAGTTCGAAGCACCGGAGGTGAGTTACACGCTAGTTTTTTAATAAATCGTTTTTTTTTTCACAGAATTTTTTCCGCAGGTCGAAAGCAAATAATGCCTGATATGCATTGGCGTCAAATATTTCTACCAGCTTTTACATTGCAAGAAGTTAGTAATACTCTTAAGATATAAATTTTTTGGTTATTGTAGGTGGAGGGAACTGTAAGAACACTTTGCTTAGATCTTATCTATCTTGCTTGTTTATTTTATTCCCTTTCTTGCATTTGTAATAGATTCTTATGTGTGTCCTAAAATTTGAAGCTATTGCGGATTGCGGTAGATAATTTGAAGCAGAGATCTCTGTAAAGTCCTCTTTTTTTATTTAAATCACACCCAAGGTTCTTTTTCTATATTTATGGGGTGAAATATTTTTCCCAGTTATCAAATATTAAATCAAATTCAAATTGAAGCTATTTGAGCATAACTCGATATGCAGAAAAAACTGACGAGTCGGTGATTTTGGCATTGAAAGGAGAAAATTGAGAATACACTTTAAGCATTTGTAACCACTAATGTGATAAAAATAATATGTAAGAAATAAAATAAGGAACAAGTAGTTCATGTTTCATGAAGCTTAATCTTAAACGCTTACACTCATTTCTTCAAAATCCAAGAAAATTATATTTGATTGTTCATGTAAAAAATATATTTACTTTTTTTAAGCAACTGAATTTTTTTTCAATTGTTCTAAAAAGTTTTAGGTGCAAGGAGCGTGTATTAACTTAATTTTGTCTATGTAATTTCTTTTACACTAAAGCGTAAACAGTGGTCATTAACAGATCTCTTATTTGTCGCTGAAATGAATTGGTGTAATGAAAGATAAACCCCATCCAATCTGCTCTCCTAATTAGTCTACGAGGTCAAAGTTTTAGCCTACAAGATGTTTACAAGATTTTTTTTTGTATTTTTAAGAGTCTATGAACGTAAGTCAGCCTCTAATATAAGTCGTGAACTTTTTATTTTCAGGAAAAGTTTTAATGCGCTCTAATAATTTACGTATGCACTATTTGAGTTCAATTCAATTTCATCGGCTAAAAGTTTGGTTGGTTGCGCTCTCCAATTAAGAAAGCCTAAAGGTCACAAAAAACGTGATCAACTTCTAGTTTCAAAAAAGGATTTTAACTTTCAAATTCCCCATAAATTTATAAATTTTACCTTTTGACCCAGCTTTCTCAAACTGAATTAATTTTATTGAAAAAGTTTCCAACATAAAATTTTGAACTTGGAGGAGCTGTAAAATATTTTATTGTTCCGACTTTCGATACGAAAGTAACGGAATATTTGTGCTCGGGGTGGTTTTTTTTTCTTCAGACAAATTTCGACTTTTTACCTAGCCATTTTTGACGGAATCTTTTTACAACATTTGAAAGGTATTGTTGTCCTGAATTCAAATTTGAAAAGATATTTCACCTGTGATCATTTTTCGTAGAGTTACGGGGGTTTAAAGCTTGCCATTTTGGCCAATTTGCGACAATTAACGCGCGATATATTTCGCGCTATTAACGCGTAAGCGGAGAGTTAATCCGTCTTAGAAATCGTTCCAAATTGGTTAAAAGAAGCTTATTTGCCATAATTGGTTTGTTACAAGGAGCGAAATCTATCCTTTTGTACTTTATATGGCGTGTGGGGGGATGATTTTCATAAAAAAATTCAAATTTTATAAAAATTTTTTGTCATTTTGTTTTATTTCATTGAATTTTTTAAATGTTATTACTGCTCATAAACCTTAAAAGGCAGTCGGAACATTCAGGGCTTCGCCCTGATACGAGCAGTCTTGTTTACTTTGAAATCGTAAATTTGAAGTTTTTTAAACGTTGAATTCATCTGAGTTTTTTCTCTTTCCTTGCGTTCCTTGACTCTTTTCCAAATATTTGTCGGCTATATTTTTGATGCGGCTAGAATTAAGACGAAATGAACGCTCGCGGGACACCTCAGCTAACCTTAAATGGCGTTTCTTTTGAAGCTTGGTTTTACATGGGAAAAGTACACTCGAATCCAAATGTCGCTACAGCCTCCAGAGTTCAAAACAAAAAATGCGGAATTCAGAACTAAAAGCTACTATCTGCTGAAATTATGTTTAGTTAGACAGGTTTTGCTGTTAAACGCAATAGTTTTTTTTTCAACAATTTTGTATGAATAATAAATTTGTCAAAATTGATGCTCATTTTAAACTCGCTTTTTATTGTTTCGGTTTTCGATAAACTACTCAAAACAGCTTTTAAAATTATCAGGGCCAAAGTTTTTCTAACTGGGTGACCGGCTGCGGTTGTTGTGCAATAGTGACCAAACGTTGTTGCAAAGTTTTTTAATTAAATTTACTTTTTTTTACATGTGTACATTCATACAAGGCAGTACAACTATGGATAAAAGTGAGGTGCTTAAAAGTTGAATGCAAAAGTTGAAGCGCGCAATCTTGAAAAATACGGTTCAGAGAAAAAATGTATAGATGTAGAAGAATTTTCCTGGCAAAATAAAGAGCTTGTAAATACTGCACTGATCAAATTCCAACCAAAATTGATTATTTCAACTAAAATTTCGTTGAGTTCTGAAAAACGTTGATACGAATGCCTTAAAAATTGACGCTTTTTAAAATAATTTTGGGCAAAACATGGTTGTTCAAATTTTAGCGTTGAACAAATTTATGAAACAATACAAGAAATGTACATTTTTATTTTTAGATAATTTGAATTTCAAAGATGAAAAAGGTATACCATTTTTAGGGAATTGTTTTTGCTTCTATATTTTTCAATATTTTAATATTCTTCCTTGAAATCAATTAAAATCAAACTTCAACAATGCAAGACAATATAATTAAAATACTTTTAATCATCTTCGTTATAGCCAGTACTAATAAATTTAATCGAAAGTACCAACAGTTTCTTAAAGTTACATGGGCCGCAATACATCTTAAATTATTTTTCAAGACGTAGATAGCTGGTTGAATGGTGTTTTTTGTCCTTTGCTCTTGTGAAATGATCGCCCTGAGAGTCTTAACAAATTTCGTTTTGGAAGTATTTCTGTTATTGATGAATATCTTGTTTTTTAAGCTATCACGTAAAACACGATTACTTTTTAACTCATTTGGCTGCCATATTATCAGATATAAAAATAGGTGCTCTATTGGGCTCAGTAAAATAACTACCGAGATTATGTTGCTACTATTCCTGATGATGCTATCAGGAGATATACATCCAAATCCAGGGCCTTAGTGTAATTATAATGAGGTGACAAAAAATACAATGATATAAAAGCAACCTAGAATTTTATATTTAAATTGTCGTAGTCTCTGCAGTAAACGAACAGGACTCAAAACTTTGGTCAAAACGCCGGTCGCAAAAGCTTATACGAACCCATTTCATTTCTTTTTAATGATTTCATTTATATTTTCGACTCAGCTTCACAAAAGCTGTTGTTACTCCTATTGATAAAATTTTAGCTGGATTGGAAACTACAATGCCACTACTAGAAAATTCGTAATAACTTTTTGCCAGCTTATATGAACTAGACTACCCAGGCCCTAGGTTACTTGGAATAAATTTAAATTCATTTGATTTCCATAAAGTAACATGATCAATAAATAAGTGTGCTTTTTTTCTTTTAAATGTTTGATTTATTGAATAATTTTTGACGCTCACTTCATTTTAAATCCTGTTTTTTAATTAGTGTTTTTTTTTAATTTTAAAAAAATTAAAACTTTTTTTTTCGTCACTAACATTTTTATAAAAGTTAGATGACATTTCTTAAATTACAATTACAAATGATTTTTTCAGCAATACATAGTCAAAACTTTCTTGCTGTTTGGTGGCTTTGCTGGTTTTGCGCGGACAAAAAAACAAAAAGACTGCTAAGTTCACTCCCTTTGCGTGAGGGAGTCAATGATTTTAAAATTTGAAACGAAAATTATTTCTATGACGTTTTTAAACGGATTGGATTCTGAACCACTTAAGTTTTTCTTTGGAATCAAAAATGAATTAATTTTTTTTGTCTAAATTTCTAAAACAATTCAAAAGAGAGGTCGGAAAAATTTAGGCTGCTTCTTAATGTGAGCATGTGGTTGTGCCGACTTTTGAGCAAATAAAACGGTTCACTAATGATAGGGGTGTTTTATTGCTTCCGTTAACTTTTGACGGACGTTGTCTTTATCGTTCTCAATTAGCTGAATTGTTTTTCGATTACTTCATAGTTTTTCAAAAAGTTTTTTGAAATCGTTATTTAAAAACGCTATCTTTCAACGAACACTAATATCGATAAATGAAAAGTAGATCAGATCAAAATTACCAAAAGATGTACGTTTTTTTTTGCGTTCTTGAGGAGGTTACGGTTATAATATTTTATATCGATGTTTCTATCTTTTTGCCAGTTATTACAACATATTTTATAATTTTTTTTCTCATTTTCATTGGAATTGTGATTTATAAAAGTTTTCGGCGTTCTATTGATTATATGAATGATTTACTTCAATGCATATGTGTCGAACTTTGACGTCATAAAGTCTGCAAAACTAAGATGTGAAGTTTTTTTTTCTACAATTTTTCATCGACATTTTTAAATGAAAAACAAACATAGTTTTTATGACATAGAAGTGAGTCCTAATTTTAGTGGTGGAATATCTGACTTAACTATGAATAATTTCAACACAGTTACTTTTTTAATGTCACTTTTTGTGACTCTTAAGTTGCACTTGTGCCAAGTTTGCGCTCTTTGCTGGCTAGCTCATTTTTCCACTATGTACACCATTTTAATTCTTTTCATCTATATGCCAGGCTCCGGTTTTTGAATCTTATTTTACATTCTTGCTTTTTTTGCAACAAAAATCCACATTTACCAATAGCCATTTGCCATTTGATTTTTCATTAACAACTTCTATTTTGTATAAACAACAACAAACAAACAAAACTTATCATGTCTTTTTAAACTTTCGCGGATATTAAAATTTTTTGTCAGCCATCCTTTTTGTAACATATTTTACAGAAATCAATATTTTCGATTAAGAAAAAACTAATTAAGCGGTCAGTACAAATCATTTTTTGCCGTTGTCAAATTTGCAACTGAAACGTAGCATATTTATAAAATTGGATTTAATAGTTCATTTCGCTCATAAAACAGCTCACAATACCTGGACTCATTTGACAAAAACCTAGTTTCATAATTTCTTGGATGAAAAAATACCCAAATGTCATCAATTACTTTCGAAATTCATCTCTCTCATCAATAATCCAAGAATCGGCTACCAGAAACTGTTCCAGCTCAATTGTTAAAAATGCGAGCAGACGTGAACAAAGCTGCAGTTTCCGCTCCTAGAAGCCCAAATTACACCCCTAATGGACCGGCTAAGAAACCAGCTCCGGTCAAATCGGCTGCTACCCCGCAGTCTAATTTACAGAACGGGAACAGGTATACGAATGGAGTGACTGCAATGCATAAACAGCCGCCTGTGAAACCTGGTGTGAACAGAAATAATAAACCGCCTGTTGAAGTGTCCCGGAAAGCACTTAATGACGTAAGTTTTCTAGTGATCCTCATTGACATTTAGTTTTCTCAGCACATCAGACAGAAACCCTAATTTAGCATGATTTAAACTAATCTCTTAAGCTCAGTGTTTTCAACCTTAACAACATTCGAATACCCAAAACTACTCGAAACCTGAACTATTTAAAAGAAACAAATTGCAATGCGTTTACGCAACTCTCCTAGTTTGAGTACCAACAGAATCTGTTCTTTAACTGATGGTATCAAATTACTGAGACCAGAAGTTAACTGAATAGTTTTGAACAATTAATGAATATAGGATATGCCAGTTAATTCTAATAGCTTGCATGATGCTGGCAGTTCGTTTCGTTATAAATTCTCGCCGGAATCAAAATATAAATAGCACGACCAAATTATTCCCTAATGAGTTATCCGATTTTTTTCAAGAAGCCAAAAACATAGCAAAAAAAACAAAGACAGTAGGTTCTTGTGAAAGTAGCAGAGAATGAGCTGTGATCACATTCATAAAAAACTACAAAAAAGTTTTGATTGCGTGATAAAAGAATTATACAAACCCGTAGAAAGTTTTTGAATAAGGCATAATTGACAACAGTTTCCTTCAAAAAATGAAAAAGAACCACAGGAAGTAAAAAATGTTTAAAAAAATATTTTCACAAGTTTTTCCGAACTTTTTGCACAATAGTTTTTTTAAAAAATGTTTGCTAAGGAAGTGAAAAATTAACCCTCAAAAGCTAGTTTTCTTTTAGTAAAACCCTTTTTTAGCCTGCGTGACCGTTTTTAATAAGACGAACATTACTCGATTGCTTTACTTGCTCGAAATTAGACTAAAACTTAAAATTTAAACCGCTTTTTCTCAACACAGGGACCAATTTTCAAAAAATTATAATGTTGTTTGATTTATGATTGAAAGGCTTCAATTTGATATATCACTCGACCCATTCCGATAGTTATTTGTGTTACCTGCTTTTGCGTAGAAATCGAATAAGAAGAAAACAGAAGCAAATGAAACTCACCCGAAGACCAAATTTTTCCTCATTTTTAGTGGTCGTAGAAACAAGAATTCCGAACAGGGTGGGAAAAATTATAGATTAATTGTATTTTTTCGCCCAATTTTGACTACCTCAAACAAAGATCGTAAAAGGTCAAATGTGGTATCATATTGAAGCCCTAATGGTCGTGATTTAGATCCAGAAAAAACTCGAAAAAGTTGTCTCTGGTCTGAAATTTACAGTTTTTCAGATAAAATTACACATAGTCGAAGTTACACGGAACCCAAATTGTTAGATTGTGTTTGCCTTTGTAGTCTCATTTTCGCAGCGTTTTTTTTAAACTCGATTGCTTTTTCTCTCAGAAAATTGCTGAAGGATTAATATAATTTTGTTAGACTTTTTTTTACTATTGATCGTATCAACTTAATTGTCTATCGGAACTTTCTGTTCTACTTGCACGGCGACCGACTGTCTTGTCTGTTTTTAAAATGTTTTTGATATTGCTGTTGTTGTTTACCCTTGCGATAATGAAATTGTTGATTGTTATGATGCTTTACAGTTCCTAATTTTTTGCTTGCATTTCCTTGTTTCATGAAATGCCAAAAAGGTTTCAGGTGGGTTGCTCTATTCTTTGATTTGAAACACTGATTTTATAACAAACCAGAGAAATTTAGTCCTCAAAAGTAACTATTGATATTTTTAGAGTGTTGAGGATAAAATATATAAATTATATTTAAGTAAATATAAATGAAAAATAATCCAAGCTTTTTTCCTTTGCAACAAGACCCTAAAATATATAGCATTGTTTGTAAGCTGTAAAAAACTCTTTTAATTTGAGAAGTTGCATGGTCTGTTTTGATTAACTGAAAATATCAGAACAACTCTAAGACCAAAAGTTAACAACATTTACACCACAAGACAACAACATTCATTTAAAAAAACACAAAAAGCTTTTTTTGAATTTTTATTCTTCAAAATAGCGTCTTTAATGCACGAGATGTCATGAGAAACTATATAAATGCGTTGAAATATCATAGTTTATACATAATTGTCATATTATATAATGTTAAATTTTGCTTTCTAGAATTTTTTTTCGCCAAATGTTTGTTGATAGATATTTTGTCTTGAAACAGTTGTCTAAAAAGTATGTTGTCTGCACAGGGCGAGCGAGTGGACACGACAGTTGCGATGGTCGGGGGTGAGAAGAAGTTTGGTTTCTCAATTGCAGGAGGAGCTAACCGAAGTCACTTCCCCAAAGTCGACAACATACACCCGGGTGAGTCACTACACGCTGCACAGACGGTGACGTCCCTGAATTACACTCCTGCAATACTCACATACCCGGCCATTCATGGAATTTCATAAAAAGTTTTATTGGAATGTCATTCGTATATTTTGTTCAAACGTTGAAATGAACTCAAGCCTTTAAAAATTTTTTTTTTTCTATATGCGTTTGGAAATTTGGTGCGTAGGGTGGGTGGGGGCGGCACACTATATCTTTTTTTCAGTTCCAACTCCGGCCCACGCGCAAAATGGAAAATTACCCACTCATAATGCAACTTCGTTTTGTTTGAATTTATAAACATGATATATGAATCACATTCTGAAATCAATTTAAATTCGCCGTGAGGTTTTTCGAACGCTTTTTAACTGAAGCGAAATGAGACTGTTCGTTAATTTCCGAGGATGCATACGATAATGGGAGAAAGGAACTGGAATCTTACTTTTTGCGTTGTCGTTTTTCTGCAGAATCGGCGGCTTCCAGAGCTAATCTGAAGCTGGGAGATGAGATCATTGCAATAAACGGAGTTAGCATTGAACACGCAACACACGAGGGCATCATCACCACCATACATAAGGTAAACAATTAAATGCTGATGTTAAGTAAAAGTAAACAATTAAATACTAATATTAAATTAAAGTTAGAAATTAATAATAAATATGCAGTGAAAGTAAACAATTAAATACTAATATTAAATTAAAGTTAGAAATTAATAATAAATATGCTTATAATTTCAACCCCCATCACTTATATTCTTTTTTGCCTCCTTCGCATCATTTGATCATTCTGTAATTGGAAGATTAGAACATTTGTTAATGTTGTAATGATAGTTTTTCAGTACTGTTGTTGGCAGATCAAGCCTTAACAACATCATTTCTTGCAAATAGCCGCATATTTTTAATTGAGTTTCTGCAAATTTTAGAGCTCTCATAATCGATCAGTTTCCCTAACTGTCATCCGAGAACCCCCTCCTCCCGAACCCGAGAGGCCCCCGACAGCAGTAAAACGATCCGAGTCGACCAATTTTCCAAAAGCAGTAGTCGTTCACGACTCAATTTCGGAGAACTCGGACGAGTCATCGAGTGACGAAGAAGAAAGTGACGAGGAGTATTCGGACGAAGACGACGCGCGAGACGGTCGGCATCCGAACCAAGACGAGCTGAGTGAGGCAAGCACTTTGACTCCGAATGAGAACGAAGTGAATGGATATCATGAAGACGATGAAGGGAATGAACTTGAAATAAGTGAAGAGCATAGCCCGAATGGCAATGGGTTTTACAAGAAAGCTGAAAAAGTAGACGAAGATGTCACCAGTAATATTTCATCGTCGGAAATAAACTCTGATCCTGAAAACATTTACGCAGCACGTGAAAATCTAAATGTGCACCAGCTGAAAGAGAAATTTGAGCCCAATGAATCGCCGAGAAAACAAAACCGACATTTTTACTCGATGAACGAACCTGAAATACGCAAACAGCGGTTTCAGAAGAAAAATGATTCGATTTTCATGAAAACGGATTCTTTTAAACAGTACGAAAAGGACGAGAACAATGTTAAGTCTCGGTATAATTTGGATGACCGATTTGGAAAAAATGACAGAGATTATGATAGTGAAAAATACACTGATTCTTTGGAGGAAAACTCAATAAATCAAGGTGAAGATGATTTGGGCCTAGATTTTCAGATGCCTGAAAGGGAAGATCCAATTGGTTACGAGCAGAGGAAACGACTTGATACAATTCCATATAAGGCAACAAATGCAATAGAAATAACAGTTGATCCGCCCTCGGAATTAACCGAAAGCGAGCCGAAGAAAACTTCAGGACAAGTTATAGACGAGGAGCCACTGCTCGTGGAAAAGAGATCCAAAGCGGTCGAGAGTGGAATAGGTGATTTGGAATCATTCGCAGACGGTGAAAAGAAAGAAAAGGAACCCAAATTAGGTAAATTAACTCAACATATTGTAGTCATTCAGAACGACGAATTACAAGATTTTTTGGTTGCAGTTTCTGGCGTGCTTATTAAAGCCATATATTTTGTTTGACACGGTAAACTGATTTTTCTTTTATGCAGTACTTACTAAAAGATATGTTGATTTATTTCATAAAAATTGGTCAAAATGAGAGAAAAACGGAAGATCGTTTCTTTTTCAATAGGGACAAGTTAATTTTAATCATTATTTTTTATATTTCTCATTGTTTTTTTAATAATTGTTCTTAGATCATTTGTCAATTTTTCTATTATATGTTCAGACCTCGTGATTCTCCACAACAGCCTGCATGAGTTGGATGACGTTGATGCTCTTCGGATCCTCACAACTCTCCAGGAGGACAGGAAGATCACAAATTCCATCAGGAGGTACCTGGACACAACCCAACAGGTGAGCTGAATTTGAGCTCTGACCACCCACTTAGTTGACAAGGTGTTTGTTCGAGATCGCCAGATCGTGGGTTCGATGCCCTGCCAATTAAATAGTGTAAGCGAAAGAGCAAATCACTTGACATCAAACTTCAGGTGCAAGTCTGCTAGAGACTAAACTACTTAGAGTTCCATTTCAAAAATCTGCTTATAAGGGAGTTGTAGGCGCAAATAATGGCTCTGACTCTCGAAAGCAGGTTTTACTCAAAAAGTTAACTATTTTAAATTGTACGCAATTGCCTAAAGAGACTCGAACAAATCTCTTTTTTATCCATTTTTTTTAAACCACCTCCCAAGGTTTTTTGGGGTTGCAACAATTTGGTGGAAAAAGAACCATTCGCCAAAGCTATTTCCAATCACTTCGGGACGTTGTCGAAACAGCAATCCATAACCCCCATATATGTTTTCGGGGTTATCTGAACTGAACGAATTTTTCTCATTTAAAACCTCGAAGTTGTAGAGAGTTCAGTTCGCTTAGCTAGAGTTTAAATGAGGTTAGCAGCAAAAGATACTCAAGATACAGAAACTACTTCGGACTTTCTAAAGTGCAGTCGTATCATTCTTGTTTTTGCCCTGATACGAGAAGCTTTGCTCAGCTGTGTAACAATTACATCAAAACTTATTTTTCTAATGCCATGGATACTTGCGACTGACTTCTGGTCGAATTAATTTGCACCAATAGCGTGCAATTTTTTTTTGCCCGTCATTTTCATTGAGTTTTCCCTATGTTGAAAATTGAGCAAATTTAGTAAAAATATGAAAATTCGCCCCTTCTGTTTCATAGTTTGACAATTTTTTAAGCCAAAATTGTTTAGAATAAGTCGAAAGGAAGGTCAGAATATTCAATGAAGTATATGATGCGAGAGATATAATCAAACATAAGTTTAAAAATTGAACAATACGATTTAAAATTTGGGTGCAGATGGTGCACATTTGAATTTGTGTCCTATGTCAACTTGTCCCCTTTTTGAAGGTTGCTCCAGATTTTTTATGTTGAGGTGTCGGCATCTACTCTAATCTTTGATTTGATTTTCTTCAGGAGTTAAGCATTTTGTGTTTTAGTTACCGGAAATCATATATCTGCCCCAAGGAAATTGTATGATAAGCATTTTTGCATACACCCTTTCAAGGAACTATATGATAAGCATTTTTCCTACCATTGAAAATCGGGAGGAACGTTATATTCGTGTTTTTTTTTATTTTTCCCCTCAAAATCAGGTACCAAAAACAATCATCGGTTGAGTGATATACCCCATTGAAGCCTCAGTCATGATTCGAACGACATCAAATTTTTTCAAAAAAGTTGTCCCAGTGTTGAGAGAAACCGTTTTAAAGTTTTTAGTTTTTAATTCGGTTTCGAGCAAGTAAAGCAATTGAATAACTTTTTGTATATTAAAATATAATTTTATTTTAGCCTTTTAGGCTAAAAAACTTGATTTTACTAAAAAGTTAAATTTTCGAATTTTTATTGAGCGCTTTCTTGGCAAAAAAGGTTTTCTAACAAAAGATGAAAATTTTTCTTCAATTTTTTTGTTTTTCATTCATTTTTGACGTTAAATGTTTTCAATGATGCCTAGTTCTCTAAATTTCTAATCGTTTGTAAAATTCGCCAATCACACCACGCACTAAAAATAATGAAACTAATTTAGGAGAAAAAAAACTTTTTATAGTTTTTTTCTGAATATGCTCAGAACATTCTGTGCTACGTGCACAGCAACCGGCTATCTTTTTTCTTGTATGGAATGGTATGCGTTGCGTTTCTCGTCCATGGAAGTCCACCCGTAGTATAAAAAGCGAGATCAAAAATATACTACTACAAATTATTTCTCGTCTTAGGGTCACGCATTGATTGGTCAGTTTACCCTTTAATGTAATTGAAGTAGCTCATGGTAACAAAAGATAGTTTTGGATTTCTCAAAAAAATCTAACAATTTAAAATCTTCTTGCAAACGCAATTACAAATATCAATTGAAATTTTCCTAAATTTCGAAGAAAGTAATAGAATGAATTATTATGCTTCAATTGTTTTTTTTTCAGACTAATTCCGGTTTTTTGATTAATTGTTTTTGATGCAATTTTTCTTAACAATATGGCGTTGAATTGCAAGATTTTAATTGTTCAAAATACCGTGTTACTACATAATGAATATTTTAATTCGTATTTGACACTGCGCTACTTCAATTACCTCAAAACGCAGTGAGAAATTCCGAACTCAGCCTTTATTTGGCCGGTTTTATCATACGCGTAATCATCTGTGAGCTGTAGTTACTGCCGTCCACTCGTTAATGGAAAACAAGAAACTTAGTGCGCATTAACCATCGCAATTTGGCGAAATTTACCTTTTCTAAACCACATAACTTACCAACACGAATTTTGTTACATAAATAGAAAAACTATAAATTTTTGTCTGCCTTTATCAAATCGGTTGTTAAGTTATGGGTGGTTAATGAACTAATAAAACCAATTAGCTTGCCTCAATTGAAGCTGGAACAGTTTTGCTTGCGGCATAATTTGCTTCGCTTTAATTACACTAGCAAGCTTGCGAACGTTAGTGTATTAGTACAAACCTTCTTTTTTTCTAATCTAACTGGCAAATATAATGTTCTTTAAAAGTGTTCACTTATTTGGTGGAATTTTTGCTATAATCATATTATGTAGCATTGAAAAGTTTTCATAGCATCTAATCTCTGCTTTATTTTATTTGTGATTAAAAAACTGCTTTGGTTGTTCTCGCTAGTATTTACGAAACGCAGCTTCGCCTCTGTATCACTCAGATTACGCTTTCAGCGTCGCAGATAAAATTTTCAAAGCGCGCATAATTTAGTCCAGAACATGGCAAAATTGTCATTTTTTGAACTCGCAAAACTTTTCGGAAAAATTATTGCTGGTAAAAATATCCTACTACATTTGAACTCAGCGAGTAGATATCTTCATTTGGTGAAACTAATGTCACTTTTTAAACCCAAAAATTGGTTGAACACAATGAACCTAATTTTTTTTTTATTTTTCACTTGATATAAAAAAATGATCAAAACTATTTAGAAATTTGACTCAAGTAAAACTTCACCGAGCTTAAATATTTAGTTAACTTTCTTTCAGTTCGAGGCTAAACTCTCTATTTTGTGAATTGTAAGTGGATCAGCCGACAAAATTTAAACATTTTCAAAGTTTTGTCTCCGGATTCCAGTTACCTACACTCTAAATTGTGCGCTTATCTAGTGCACAGTTTGGCCTCGTAATATTCGTCAAAAGCCAGAAAAGTTAGGCTAACTAGAAAAATAATTGTATACAGTTTTTTGAACAACCTATTATCTACGCAATCATATTTTGGACAATTTTTTAGTCTCATGGTCAGCTAAACCAGCATGCCCACAGAAATCCGGAGAGACTTGATTCTAGAGCTGTGAGTTAAAAATTTATATTTTTTCTAATCATATCATATCATTCATTCATGATCATTACAAATAGTACCAGTCGCTGAACGATACTTGAAATCTGGATTTTGCTTAGAGCACGCATGTCATAAATGAAAATAAAAAGTTAAGTTCAACCATTAAATAAATTTAGTGTAGAGAATAGTTTATCTGTTTTTATGGCTGGCATCTAATCGCTGATAGTTGAGACGATAGTTGAATCTAGTGTAGCTTTTTAGTGTAGAGTTATTTTTTCAGAGGATTATTTTTTTGCCTTTGTCTGATTATTCTGTTTCTTGGCTTTGAATTATGACTCATTATTTTTGTCTTCATCAGGCACTGCCGTCCGTTTCAAACGTGTTTGTGAACGGGACTTACTCTGACATTCCGAGTAGATCCTCAACTCCACTCGATACTGAGGTGATTGTGAACACCCCTTATGAAGATAGAGGCTCGGATGATGCCTCGTGGGCCGAGATATCAGACCCCGGATTGAGAGATGTATTCGTGACTAAACCGGCTGGACAACACATTGTAAGGATTCATTTTGGTCTTAGAAACTAAAAAAAGACTATCTTGCAAGCGATCACCTTGGAAATTGCAGCACACGTGCAAGTTGAACCGGCATTTATATAATTGCTGGGCATCATCACCACCCGAAAGCGCCAAAACGCCGCATATCTTAGTAAAGAATCTCTAATTGACCTTAAATGCATTCCAAATGCCTCAGAGTTAGTTTTATCCAGCTTATTCAATATGATGATGCGACGCTTTATTGTTCCGACTTTAATAGAATGTGACGCAATATTTCTGCTCGCTGTTTTTTTTTGGTTTCATTTGTGGTGATGCGACGCTTTATTGTTCCCTGTTTCGTAGAAAGTGACGGAATGTTTCTACTCGCTGTCGTTTATTGAAGAAGACAACCGCATTTTGCGATTGGCATTTTTTTGACAATTTTCATTTTTTAAAATGGCTTTTTTGACGACAGCTTTTTAAATAGACTGAAAGCAAAAAATGTCCTGAGCTCAACTTCAAAACGGTCAAGTTTTCATGGGTAGTTTTGCGACGCTTTATTGTTCCGACTTTCGTAGAAAGTGGCGGAATGTTTCTGCTTGCTGTCGTGTTTTTTTTTTCGTTTTAAGTGTCGTAATGCGACGCTTTATTGTTCCGACTTTGATAGAAAGTGACGGAATATTTCTGCTCGCTGTTGTTTTTTTGGTTTCATTTGTGGTGATGCGACGCTTTCTTGTTCCGAGTTTCGTAGAGAGTGATGGAATGTTTAGGCTCGCTGTCGTTTATTGAAGAAGGCAACCGCATTTTGCGATTGGCGTTTTTTTGACAATTTTCATTTTTTAAAATGTTTTTTTTTTGTGATGACAGCTTTTTAAATCGTCTGAAACCAAAAAATGTCCTGAGCTCAACTTCAAAACGATAATTTGGTGGCACAAAATTTTCGTTAAGTGATAGGCCGTTTGAATATTGCCAATATGGGATAAATAACATGGGTTGCGTAGCAAAAAGTAGACCAGTCTTAGAGTAGACACGTTAGAAAGTAAACAGCCACAATATGAACCAATCAGAATTGAGAACAAGATGCAAACTTAGAAAATAAATAATTATTAATTATTTAATTCTTGAGTTTACTTTCTGTTCGCAATTCTGATTGGTTATTGGTCTAATTTTTGACCTGTATAAAATGAAGCTTGTCTATTTTTTGACCGCATTCCATTAACCTGTTCTATTTAATTTGGTCAGAAATTGCTCCAAATTTAATTAAGGCAAGCTTTTTGTTCATGTTGATGTGCTAATATACCTGGGGGTATTTCAAAACAAAATGAAAAAAAAACAATCATCGTTCTCAAAACTCTCTAAAGTGTTTTCAACTTAGCGCATAGACTGCAAGGCCTTCGTGTTTACGCTAGCGAGCAGCTAGTGTTTTATTGCGAACCTTCTTTTTTTCTAACCTAACTCGCAAATAGAAGTGTTTACTTGTGTGCCTTTTGCTATAATCACGATCTATAGCATTGGAAACTTCATAGCATCTGTTCTCGGCTTTATTTATGGCTAGTGTTTGTTTCGGGATAAGCGTCCGTGGTTGAGTGGTTAGTTCGTGAGACTCCAGTTCGTAATTTCCAGATCGCAGTAGGTCGTAGGTTCGAGTCCAAGACCTCGCCGAATTTGCACTAATTCGAGGCTTATTTTTACTTTTTCTTATTGCACTTTTTAGAACTCTTCAGCTGCTTTTTGTCGTGTTCTCGCTAGTGTTTGTGAAGCGCAGCTTCGCCTGTGTTAAAAGTTAATCCACACTGTCTTGATTAAAAGATAGACTCAAAAATCAACCCAACTTTCGCGCTTAGTTTTGATAGATTTTCGAGAATAGTTTGTGGTGGGGTATAGCAGTGTTTTTATCTCCTAACATGGTATACTTTAATTGACAATAATTTAATCGCATGATACCCCAGTTGGATATTTGGAACACTCTATTCTATTTTTTGCCCAAATTCAAATGTGGATAAACCAGTCGAAGCTTAAATAAATTGCAACGAGCAGGGTGTATAAAACGGCGGCAAAAAAAAATACGCCATTTCCTTCATAGAAACAAAGTTTCCTTGATAGATACATTATCATCGCGTAAATCTCGTTGTTTTCGGCTGTTTCATTTGATAGCTGGTTTTATACTTTTGGTTAAAGTATATTTTGGTTGGAGAATAATTTTGACTTTTTGCGATAATAATTTAGTCTTCGAAAATAGATTTTTCCTGTGACTCTTACTGAAATGTGAAACAATATCTTCAAACGAAAACAAGCAGCTCACTGTTAACTTTGATCTGACCGGTTTTTTATTTGCTTTCATTTAAAAAAATCTGTGTTAGACATCAAAGCTTTTGAGGAGATTATAAGTGTAAACAAGTGGAGTTAGATTATTATCTAGTACCACACCCGAAGAAGGTCAAACAACATGGTACCGTAAAACTCGGCCAAAATTTAAGGACCGTTTTTCAAAGGCGTTACTGACCACGTTTAAAATATGTTACATGCGTGGAGAGAGTTGTTCAAAATTATGCAGGAAAAAAAAGCAGTTTTTGGTTTTAAAAACAGTTTCCATTTAAGGAAATGGTATTCAAAATATTTAACGTGAAGCTGTAAACTTGTCCCGTCCTTGAAGCGGTGAAATGTGATGTTTTGTTTGTTCAGGGTGTGACCGTTAAGAATTCAGAAGATGGTCGAGTAATCATTGCACGGATAGTGAAGGGAGGAAACGTCGAGACGAAAGGTAAATAAACGAGCTGGAAAGAAAAACTCGTATTTTAAAACAGCTTAATTTTCAACGTCTTTGTTGATCTTACCGAGTGTTTTTTTTTTGAATGATTGCATGTTCATTTTCACACCTTCGAAAATGATTTCGGTGAACAATTTGTGATAGTTCTATGAAATTACATTTTGTTAAGAAATTTGTGTTTTTTTAGAATTGTTGAGCCGGGTATTTGCCAAACGATTTTTGTTTTAACGGGATCCTGGGTACCATTTGTTTAAAAACCTTCGATCCCTGGAACTTTCTGACGGAAACCAGGGCATAGTTTTCCTAGGAATTCCGCAAGTTTTCCCTAAAAGGGATAATTTCTAAGCGGAATTTTGATTGCTTGACTTTTTTCAGATATTCACGTGGGCGATGAACTGCTGTCAGTGAATGACATGTCGGCAGATGGACTGACAGCTGATGACGTCAGTGACATGATAAACGCAGTGAGTGGGCAGGTCAAACTGAAGGTCAGGACTTCACCTGATACTCGGAGTTATCACAACAGGGCTTTAGAAGTGAGTCACGATGACAACGACGGGGGTGAAATGAATGGACATGACAGTGCTGATGTGAGTTTTGCAAGAGATGTTTCCGATAAATGGCTTTTTTGTCTTATTTCATTTTCTAAGATATCAGTTTTTTCCCAAAAAAGCATTTACCCAATTTTAGCGGAAGTATCTGTGATTTTTATTTGAAACCAGGTGCAGATGAAGAAATTTAGAACGGGGGCGAAAATTCAAAAAAAAATGAAAAGTTTGGTCGACCTTTTGACTATGAAATTGAGTTTTTTGGCAGGCGTTGGCCCTCAAAATAAGTTTATTTGGCATTTGCACCCCGTCCCTGACATGCCACATTATTTATAAAGTTTTCAAATTTTTCACTGTTTCTTTATTTTCTATGTTGTCAAAGAAGGTGTCTTTTTTTGTAAATGAGAGATCTTTAATCTGAGAAGCTTTTTAAATTAGGTTGCCGTTCCTCCACAAGTAAGTTGTTTGATTGAAATTGTTCATAAATTGCTCATTTTGACTTGTTTTTGCGTCCTCTTAAGCGTTTTCCCGAATATCAAATCGCGATTTATGATGCTCAGTTTTCTATCAACCATCAACTTAACAAAATCAATCAATATTTACACTTGCTGTATTTGAGCGTTTTGCCAACGATAATTGGGAATACGTTTAAGAGGCTTTTGCATTCGCCTGGTTTTCAGCTGCTTTTATATTGCACAAAACTTCGAGTGTCGGTCACATGGTTCACTATTCTTCAATTTTTTTTTAGAAATTCATGATAATTCATCTACTCATAATGGTACAATGGCATGCGACATTTTTAGTAAACTGTTTGCAGGCAGGGTCTCAAATAGCTGAGATTAATTAATTCCTCCAGCGATTACTTTGGAGAACTTCGAAAACAGTTAATACCTATATTCTCTAAGCTGGTTTAGAGGTAAGACGTGCAGTTGGATTCAAGTTTTGAGCTCATATCGCTGGGAACTTCGAAAATTTAATGTCTACTACTGACCGTCGTTACTTTCCCTAGCTGGGGTGAAGATTGTTGACTTGATCCGGCGTTTATTTTCTTTGGTATGAGCAAAATTTTTTTACATTAGGAAAAGCTATCCATAGAATATTTTTATTGATCAGAAACTAATATCATAAAAAATGAGGTATATTTTTTGAACTTCAACGCTGTATTATTTGTTCCAACCTCTCGATAAAATTTGCAAAGTTTTACCTCGCACACTATGTAAAGTATGTGGTAATGCATTTTGCATCAAGTAAAATATTTAAAATAAAAACAAATACCTGGCCTCAATTAAATTTCGAAAGCGATTTTTGAGCCGGAAAAAAATCATCGCTCATGCGTTAAAATCATCGCTCATGCGTTAAAATCATCTCACAAAATATATCTCGTACGAAATATGTTGCTAGGTAATTTATCCCATATTCTCCATCACTTCAGAAAAATTAATCAAAGGTTAGATCTCGTTTTAGGTTTCATCTCAGTATATTAATATTTTTTAGTTTGAAGATGGTGTAAACATCCTTCAAGAAACGGTAGCTACAAAGTTTATCCGAAGAAAAAAATCACTGCGAATACATATTTTCCGTCCCTTTCTTAGAAAGTCGGAACTTTAAAGTTCTTGGTTCAACGGTGCTCTCGATCAAAGGGAAAAAACAAGTTATAAAAAAATATAAAAAAGTACAATTTGCTCAGCTATTATCTCAAACACAAAATTTTCTAACGATAGATCAAGAAAAATTTTGGGGGGATAACCTTAAAATGCGAATGTGTGGTAACAACGAATGACATAGTTTTGTGATAAAAGCAAGTTTATTTACCCTTGCGATTATCAAGGGTATTGCAACCGAGTACTAAACTTTTTTCCCGTAAATAACTTCGGTCACAGAATGGTCAATTTAGGAATGGTAAATTTCAAGACATGCTCAATTTCTTGAAAACTCAAATAAAAGTACTTCAGTTTTCGTGGTTTTCAGCCTAGTTTCCGTCAGTTCATTTCCCATTTCTTTTTAAATGTCATTTATAATTATCTGGTACTAGTTTTTATCAACTTATTTGGTAAAGCATGGTTTTTTATTATAATTTTTTTTACTAGAAAAATTGAACGTTCTATAATTTGTCATTTTACCATGTATGAATTTGAATAACTTTTTTTTCCGACTAAATAGTTTGGCTGATACTGCATCGGGTTAGTCAACTGATATTTTGTAATTTCGACGGCAAAAAGTTCCTGTTCGACAAAATCAGGTATTTTAAAATTGAAGGGAATTAGTTTTTATTACTTTTTTGAGACGCTTTCGAAATTTTTTTCTCATTTCAACAAAAATTTTAGTTCAGGAGAAAACCACTCTACCGAAATTCAAAAAAGGCGTATGAATGAAAAAAATGTCTATTCACCTGTGTGAATGCATAATCCCATGGTCTCTTTGTACGTTACCCTACTGTCCACAGCCTTCGAAACAGTCTGTGGGGGGAATATTTGACCCATATTTTTTGGATTTTTATCGGTTCTTCAAAATTTTTTCCTAAACCTGAGATCTTGAATTCAGTGGATAGAACGCTATATGGGAAGTTCACCTGAACAAGTGGCTATTCTCACATTTTTGTTACAAAAAGTTATGGCTGTCGGAAAAGTCAATAATTGGTTTTTGTCTTTTGAAACTATATAATGTTTTCGAAAGCTAAACTCTCAAATCATGAGTATTGAGAAAAGTATGATTGGCGAAACATTCAAATTCTTGATTTTTTTACCATTTTTTGAAACTTGTTGACTTTTCTCGAAAACTACCCTGCCAGTTCTTAGGTTAGGTTTCAGGTTCAATCGAGAAATCCGTTTTGGTAAACTTCTATGACTTAGCAGCCACAGCCTCATTGCAACAGTGCCAATTCTCAGGTTAAATTTTCAAACGAGAAACTCAATTTTGAGAAATTTCTACATTTCACCCGACACGGCCTGCTTTTAGTAGAAAAAGTTACAGATTCAGAAATACTTCTGTAACTTTTTTTGTTTTTCATAGAAAGTATCCTATCAAAATTGAGATAAAGGTTTTTTTTTTGAAAAAACCGCTTGCAAGAATTTTTCCTACAGAAGCGGTGACTCCTTTTTGGATGGAAATTTTTAGGTATTTGAGAAGTTTGCAATTTCTTAAAAATTTTCACTCTTTTGATACAAAAGCGACTAAGGTTTCAAGTTCAATTTTGGAAATAACCCATTTCAACCCGCATCGGTAAAAAAAACTTCAAAAAGTATTAAACAGCCCTCTCTAAGTTTGACTGGGCCCCTAGTTTTCTATTACTGAGCATACGAGTGTTTGGTTCCTTTAGTCTTTTCAAAGTAATGTTTTTGAAAGTTTTTTTCTAATGTTTGTGTTGTATCACAAGTGGTGCGATGCTCAGCTTCGCTTCTGTATCCAGTCTTGAAAAATGCACCAGAATTTGATTGACTTAGCAGTGGTTTCTGTATCTGGAGATTTTTTCGACATGTGCTTGAAACCATAGTTGTCCCGACCATTTGAAAAATGGGGCGGAACAGTGTATTCGAGATTTTTTTTTTTGATTTTCGACGCAAAAATAGCTGGAACAAATAATCATTGGAGGAAATTGAGTGATATATTACTTTTAATCCATTTTAGCCGTGTCTCAAACGACATTTAAAAAAAATCTCAACCGGTTCTATTTTTTTTTCGATTTTTCGTCCTAGTTCGAGCAAATAAAGCGAGCGAGCAGGCTTACAATAGCTTATTTTAATAGCTTAAAATTTTACAGTAGCTTAATTTAAGCCGTGAAATCTAGTTTTGATTTTTTATTTTTGATTTTTTTTTGTTCAGAGCCTCTAATCACAGCATCACATCACGCCCAAAACAAATTGACACTGATTTAAAATTGTTGCTTTTTAAGCCCTGGTCGGAACATTCTGTGCTACTTGCGCAGTAACCTGCTATTTTTGTTGTAGTTGCTAATTGTCCTACTGTTTGAGTTTGTTTTGAATAACCCTGCAACAAATGAATTAGCGATGTACAAAAAAAATTTAAAATAGTTTTGAATAAATCAAAGGACTTGAGACTAATATATTTTTAAAACTCGTTCAAGTTTGATTTTGTTATCTAATTTCTCCAATTTATCGACGCAAACAGAAGTAGAAAAAAATTGTGACTTCTGTTTGATATGAACATACCTGATGTCCGACCTTTGAAAATGGGTGGGTAGGATAGTTTTACTCGAGTTTGTTTTAATTATTTTTTCTTTTTTCCAGTTTACACGCACAATCAGCTACCATAAATGTTCATTGGAGGGAGTTGAGCGCTATATCAAATTTAAGCCGTTTTTGTTTCGATTGGAACGACATTTAAAATGTCGAGGAATTTTTCTCAGTGCCTAGAAAAATTGGTTTGAAATTTTAGATTTTTTGTCTTAATTCGAGCGAATAAAGAATAAAGCGAGAGAGCAGGATTACAATAGCTTATTTTAATGGCTTAAAAGCTAACAGTAGTTTAGTTTAATCCGTAAAATTCATTTCTTCTTGAGTGAAAAGAGTTTTTTTTTGAGCCGTTTTGAAATCAAAAAACTGCTTAAGTAGTTTAAAACTTATAATTTTTTAATGATTTTTTTCTAGTCGTCGTACTTCAAATTTTTCCGATTTGCTTTTTAATATGAATGCCTGAGTCGTAGATTTTTGTTCATATCCTTTTATCACATCACGTCGAAAAAAGACTCTTTTTCGAAAAAATTTTGTTGTCTTCTTAAGGCCATAGTCGGAACATTCTGTGCTCTTTGCGCAGTGACCGGATATCCTTGTTTGTAATTGCTATTTGTTCTATCGATGAATTGTTTTGTGGCTTTGAATAACCCTGCAAAAAATTTTGAAGTTTTGGACTTTTAATCTAATTTCGAGCGAGTAAAGCAATCGTGAATTTTTAACCCTTATTTAGATATTTAAGTTGAGAAAACCTAATTTTTCTAAAAAGAAATCTAAGTTTGGATTTTTTAGCGTTTAATTGCAATAATGATTTCTTAAAGTTAAAAAATTATGTTGCAAAAAATTACTAAATATTTTGTTTTTTTAACATTCATTTTTTTTGTTTGTCATGCATTTTTGAAATAATATTTAGGCAGTTGAAAACTTACTTAACTTTTTGAATGAGGAAAATTGGAGAAATGCTAACGCTTATTGTTTTTGTTTCAGCTGGTAAATGATCAAATGAGAATTTAATTTTTATGGACTGTAAAACCTAACTGACTGATGATGAAACTTTTGATTGATACTTAATTGATGCAACTTAAATTAAATTTATTTTTGAAAACACTTGATATTTGCTTTTACTGTAAAGAGCACACATTGTCAATAGGGTTGATTCATAAATGCAAAAATTGATGGTTTACCAGCCCTACATGGCCTGATCTGCTATTTTTTATGCCAAATAAGCCCAGAAAAATAATCAAAACTGAAATTGGTCCATTTTCAGTTCCGCGTGCGTGCTCAGTTCAACTTTGACCCCGACCGCGAATCCAGATGTCCGTGTCCTGAGTTGGCGCTGACCTTCACGAAGAGAGACATTTTGCATGTGTGTGCTGTGAGAGAGGGCGATGACCCCTTCTGGTGGCAGGCATTCAAAGACAATGGAAAAGGTCACCATGACTCATCAATGGCTGGAATCATACCATCCAAGAAGTTCATAGAACAGTACGCATTTTGTTTTGTGTCGTGAATTTTTTTTATCGAATTGTATATAAGATCGAGGTTTAAAATGCCTTAGCTAGCTACGAACAAACTAAGTTCATCTCGATTGCAAGTTAAGCGCTGGTGATATGCTTATGGTGTACAACTCCTCGGTCGAAAACTTGGTGGTTCGAAGACCACACTGATACATGTTCTTTGATTGACATTCTTTTTTGTTTTTGTGGATTGTTCTAGAAGTTTCTGTTTTGTTCACAATTAGGAAAGACGAGAACCGGAAGTTGGCCAGTGCAAACAGCGTTTATGTGCCTAAGAAAAAGAAGGGACTGAAGTACCTGTGTGGGGGAGGGAGAAACAAGAAGAAGAAGGAGAAACAGGTCAACTCACATGGAAGGAAAGGGGGAACAACTGATGCGCCCAGTTATTACAACAGTAAGTGCCAGAACTAAACGTTGAAAGCAACAAGAATAATTTGAATGACTCGATCACCATAAACATTGCAAAAAATTAATTTAAAATAAAAAAATTAGAGTTTTCTATTTTTTTAAGCTACAGGAATTAAGTAAAAACGCATTCAAAGCAGTAAAAATAGTTTGGAGTGAATCTTCCGTTTACAACGCGCCCGCCTTAAATTGGTCTAAAAAACAGAAATAGTCGGACTCCATGTGACTATCTACGAGTGGAAAGGAAAAAAATCTATAACAGGTCATGGTTTTTCAACTCAATAGGAAGAGGCGTTGGAAAAAATTATCACCAATTCCCTGTTTTGCAATGCATTGCACGTCTTTCGCTCAGAATGGTAGCTTTACGAGGCCAAACTGTGCTCTGAATAGGCGCACATCTTGGTGTGTGTACATCCCTGGAATCCTGAGACAAGTCTTTAAATCCTTTTAAGGATAAAAACAAGGTTGACCATCCATAGCAAGTTATTTTTTTTGACTAAATATTGATAAATTAAATGTAGAATTTTAGGTATTGAGATTTCCTAGAGTAACCAAAAATGCAAATGGCTCTCTTTAGTGCTTGTTTTCTGTGCATTATTTGTTTTTAAAAACTGATAAACGAAGTAAAATTTCAATTGATTTTAATAATTAGGATCGTGCATTTTTCTTTTTTCTTCAAAAAGTATTAAAAGTGTTTTTTTTGCTCGTTTTAAATTTCTGGCACTATTGATATTTTTGGTGCAAATCCTAAATCTGATAACTGGCAGGCAAAATGGTTTCGTCATTATCGAAAACTCTATTTCAAATTCCTGATTTTCAAATTTTTCATTTCTTGACCCAGTTTGCTCAAATTGTGGTAATATGATCAAGAAACCGGTAATATCTATAAACTATTGAAACTCAAAAGATTTGAAAGTTTTTTGTCTGAAATTTCAAAGTTGAAAAATTGAAAATTTCGAATTTTCAAAGATGTAAGTAATAGGTTTTGTTCGGTTTCTTTGCAATGATTAGCTTTTTTTCATTTGGCTGTTAGCTATATGTCTACTTTCTTTTGTGAAGTTTTCATAAAGTAATATATTTTTGATTTACCAGTTTTCATAAAAATGTATGGAAGGTATACATAGAGTTTTCATCGTTTAGCCATATATTTACATAAGGAACTTCTTGTGTTATATTTTATATTTTAACAAAATACGCGTAATTTAGTGGTCAAATCAAAAACTCAATATTAATATTCGTGTACTGCTTCTATTATACTTCTGTTTGGCAATTTAAAAGCTTCTTTTTGTCGGTTTTGTTGGTGGAACGTGCTTTGAAGAGACGTAGGTGGGCTAAGTAAGGTCTTCGCGAGGCTTGAAATATTTTTCTCATACAGCCAGGTTTTGACTTCTTTAGGCACAAATGTGTATTGGAAAATGGAAGCTAGGTCATGAAGGAATAATTAGAAATTTAGATGATACTAGGACTAACTAATGTATCTTTTCAGCTTTTCATTGAGCAATTTTAGCTTTTCGCGAAGTGTTGTGAAGGACTCCTTCCCTGTTTTGCAATGTATTGCACATCTTTCGCTCAGAATGGTAGCTTTACGAGGCCAAACTGTGCACTGAATACGCGCACAGTTTGGTATGTATACACCCCTGGAATCCAGAGACAAGTCTTTAAACATGTTCCAAGTTGTAATTGGATTCAACTTACGCAATTTCTATGGATTCTGCGTACAAATACTTTGTTAAGTAACTTTTAAATTTTGTCGGCAGATTGTTCTGAGTTCTGCAATTATTTGCAGATTTCGCAAAGAGGTGCGAGCGAAGATAGCAAGTTTTTCTGGATTCCGCAAATGTAAGCGGATTGCGCAAATCTGCTTACAGTTGCAAATTTTATAACCGCGCAATTTTACACACACATTTTGTTTTCGGATTTAGCTTTAGCATACTGTTCTGGATTTTGCAAATTTGTTACGGATTTCTCAAATTCAGCAGTTTTTGGAGCAGTGTTGAGCAATAATGTTTTAGCTAATTGTTTGTGGAATCCAAAAAATGCAAAAAGATCAAAGAAAATAGCCTTGTTGCGGGTTCCGCGACAATTTTGTTTCCAGCCGGTCGCGGAATCCGCTCACAATTTGCAAAGTACGCAGTTTTACAATCATGCAAATTGCTCAAACCTCACTCTAAAGGGGACTGCACTTTTAAGTTTGAGGGTTAATGTTTTGTCCATCTCCGTGATCCTCAGCCATATATCTACAGATTCGAATGACGTATCACGCCGAATCTCTTCTTAAACTACAAATTAGATGAAATGTAATAAATTAGACATTTTTAAATGATCAATGGATGTTCACCCTGCTATGACTTGCAGGCAGCCCGAATGTTCCGAGGATCTTGAGTTACGAAGAGATCACGCGTGTGCCTCCCGATAGATTCTACCCGGAGACGAGACCTCTGGTGTTGATCAGTGCCCTGGTGGGAGACGCAGTCGCGCTTCAGAAAAGACTGTGTGAACAATTCCCAGAATCAACCATTCAACCCCAACTACGTAAGGACTCGCCATTGCATGCAATGAAGGAGGAGATGTATTTGGCTTTAGATAACATAGATTGTGATTGGTTAAAAAGACAAAGAGATCAATATTTATAATAAACAGCTGTTTTCAAAGTTTTATCATTTTGGTATTTGAGACTTCTGTTATAAATATGGTTCCACGGGTGTTTAATTGCAGTTTTTTCTAGAAAAATAATCAAAAAGTTAGAAGCCCAAACGGAAGGTAGCAGTTGTATCTAAAATATCTTTTATAGCAAATATGGACATTTTGGTTCCTAAGTTTTAAATTTTTGTTCATTTCAACCCGTATAAAGTGAGCGTTGATTCCAGACACGACCCGTCCATACGAGCATCCGTCGTCGGCTAAAGCTACTTCGTACAACCAGAACCACAGGGTTTCTTCTCAAACTTTAAATTCCATTCCATCGTACATGAGGACGTCATCATATCAAACTGCCAATCAAAACCACAACAACAATTTCAATTCCACGCCGGAAACAGAACCAGAATGGTTTCACGTGGGTGTGAATCATTTCCAGGAAATGGAGAGGTCGTCTAAGTTCATTTCTGTACAGTCTGTGGGCGATTACATGTATGGCCTATCTGTGGAATCGGTAGTCGAGGCTATGCAGTCGAGTAATACGTGTGTCTTTGTATGTCCCCCAGAGGTAAGTAATGTTTGGGTTTTTTTGGGACAAAAACGTCCGCTTAAGCCATACTGTTGCATAATTTTATACAAAACCTTATTCTCTTAAATGACCCAACAATTGGATTTTCTTTCGTAAATGCTGAAAGTCCTTTTTTCGGGGTAATGGACTCAATATTACAAGTTGAAGAATAGCGTCTTTTTAGAATAGCAATTAGACATTTAAGTTCAATATTTGTTAATAATTTTTAAAAACTTTTATCATTATGCTCAGACACTTGGTCAAGTTTTCTGTTAATGTGAGCAAATATTTTCATCATGTCTTTTTTAGTTTTAATAGTTTCTGAGTCGTCAGCATGTCTACCTTCATAGGTCCAGATGGTTCTTTCCAAGTGATATGCGACTATTTTGTTTTTCTTTTCCGCGCTTTTGTGGCTACTATGAAATGGTTGCTCGGCCAACGTGATCAATGGCTTGTATCATATTGAACTTGATGGCCTGTCAAAAAGCAAGATTCTGTTCATGAGTTTTCTTTTGTACCTCTCATGTCTAATAGCATTCAAACAGTGAATTTTTCAGCTAGTTTTTTGTTATAGAAAAATAAAAAATTGATTGCGAATTTATCATTTTCCCATTTAAAAAAATTATTGAATTTAGTTTTTTTTCGTAATCCGATTAAGTTCCGTTGAAAGTAAAAAAATTCGAGTTTAATCGATTTTTGGGTAATTTGTAAAAACACTACCAAAAATTGCGTTTTTCTAGGTGCTCGCTCCCACTACAACTTAAAGTTGGTTGGCACCAAAGGTGCTTCTCTGAGAACTTTTTGGGGCTGGCCGGCGAATTATAGGTATAGCAGTACCGAAAACGTATCGTGCAGCTATATAAATGTAATTTTTATGTAAATTTTAGTTTAAATTAATGAATTTTAATTTAAATAATTGAAATTTAATTTAAATTAATTAAAGTTTGAACCTGTTAAACATGAAATAATGTGAAAATAATTGCGTCAAACATGATTTGTTTTAGTCCATTTACAAGATCCGCAATGCAATAGTGAAGCCATACACTGTGTTCTTATCAGCCCCGAACAGAGAAATACTAAAGGACAACTGCACAAACAACAGGGGATGTTTCATGAAGGCAAGTAGACCTCCTGAAACTAAAAGTTGTCAAGATTGATAAACAAACTAAAATATAGATACCTGGATTTAGATATTTACCTTTACTTAGTTTCAGGTTGCCTGGTTCTAGAAAGCTACTTAGCTTTGGTTATTATAGATTGCTGATGGGGGAATGCTATTTGTGGCAACCAATCAAATTCATTTCAGCTAAAATTAGTCAAACAACTTTATACCAAAATTGATGAATTTTTGTTCCTCTTTCTCATATTATCAGTGTTTTTTCCTGCTTTTACAAATTTTAAAAGCTGATTTTTTTAAAGTTCAATAATTTTCATCAATTTATAGTGCATTGCTACAATAGCTAACGAAAATTTGAGATTTTTTCAGTTTTTATCAGTGTCTGCTCTGCGAAAGATAGAGAAATCTAAGCGCCGTATTAACCGCTAATGACATTTGCACTACTACACACTTTGAAAAACTTTGTTGCTTCTATTGTTCCCATTTTCGAAGAAAAAGCGGAATGTTTATGCTTGTGTGGGTGTTTTTATTCAGTCATTTTTCATTCAGTCATGTATAAAGATGGATTTTTTTATTTAAAAAACACTGGATAATTGGTTGATGTCTTGTGAGTTTCCAAAATAAAGATTTTTCTCATGCAACTGGATCGCTAAAATCCATTCGAAGGCAAGGGCTACCCAGTTTAATAAATCTGGTTCTCCGACCGCTCGTGAACTACGGGACCCGTAGCTTCCACATCCCTGCACATTTTCATTTCCCCAAAACTTGACCTCTCTGACTCTGAATTGAGTTAAATTAATTGGTCTTATTATCAGGATAAGAGACGCTAAATACATCAGCAGGTATTGCAGGTATTATTGGCGTATTGCAGGTATTATTGGCGTGCTGGGGGATAAATTGGAGAAAAATAAAGTGTTTGTTTTTATCATTATGTGAATTGGTCAACCAAAAAATTTTCAACTGGCCTTAGAGAGGAATCGGGACGTTCAGAGCTTCGCCCTGATACACTAGCAGTCTTGTTATTGGTATGTCATTATTGTGCTGTGACGATTTTGGTGTTCATATAACTGGTACAAATAGATAGTTTTTTTCGTGTTGCTTATAAGTCAGGACATTCATTTTCAATTTTTAAAAAATTTTTGTTTAGTTTATATGCTTTAAATTTGTGCATGTCTACATGTTTTCAAACCATTTTAAAAGGGAAATTCAAAATTTCTAATAAAAAAAGACAAGAGTAGCCGGTTGCTGTGCAAGTCGAACAACATTTAATTCCAATTTTTTTAAATAGTTTTTTTGGGCTAGTCTTGTGCATTGCGGAGGGAGAAAATTTTTGAATGCTTAGAAAATTAGTATTTACCAATTTAAAAAAAAAACTTTATAAAACAGAATTTTTGAACTTGTTTTCTACTTTTTCTGCAGACTTTTAGAAAATACGGTACTCGCTCGCTTTATTTGAGTACCGTATTTATGCTATATCCTTCGACCCATTCAAGTGATGATTTGTCGTAACTGATTTTGCGAGGAACTGTTAAACAACGTACCTGAAGACAAAATTCCGCCCAACTTTCAGTCTTCGCAAAAGTTTTGATTCTTATGCAATATTATGATTCGGAATCCATATATTTAACTTTTAAAATGTTTTGAAACTCTGGTTAAAGAGTTGAATGAGGGTTCCATTACTAAATTGATTGATTTCGAAGCTGAAACTAATGCTTATTATACACTAAGCATTTTGTTATCTATTTGTCGTCGGGCAAAAATATTGACGAAGTTCCTAAACTATTTTTTGATACCTTATAAGTTTTCACAACTTCGTGATGCCTCAGAGCTTGGCATACCACAAATTTTTCAAAAAAAGTTCTTCAATAATATGTTTTGATAAACAAATAAAATAAAATACTTTTCTAAAATAAAATTTCACCCTCCCATGAGCATGCTCAATTTCACCATTTACGTGTCCCGCTTGCTGAGTTTTATTTCTCAAGAAACCCTCTGGTCATAATCAAATTCTTCTTGTTTCGGATTGGACGATACATAATAACCGTTATAAATTGTTTCCCTTAGAGGTCGTTATGAGTTTAAGTTTAATCTTCAATGTTTTTGTGTTATCTTATCTTTTCAAAAATGAATATAATCAAGTTTTATTTGCTTGCTATTGTAGTCCTGGATTATACCAAAGTTTTTGAACTTGTACCTAAGGAATTTCTACAGATCTGAAATTCTTTATTTTTTACATAAGTCGATTCTCAAATATGAAATTCGTTATGTTAGGCCTTTGTGAAGAATTCGAAAATTTCAGATCTGAAATTTGGTTCTGAAATCCAAAGTTTTTTTTATCATATAATTAACTTTTTAAAATCTTATATGCTTTTCGAGCAAATGATTGAATTTGCAGTTTTTTGCTTTTGTTGCAATATTCAATTATTTTCAGATTTATTAGCGGTAGAAAATTCTAAATAATTACCAAAACAGTTCTTTTTCAAACTGAATTTCTTGATCAACTGTTTTGAAACGTTTTCAAAAATTGTTAGAAGACTTCAAGCTTTTGATTTTTATGCGCTACTTCTGAGTTTTCCAATGTTATCTCATGTTTCCGGAATTATATTTCAGCAGTGTACCATGAAAGATTTTTCTAATTATCTAAACAGAATTACTCAAAATAGCGGAAGTTGCGCCAGAATCATCGATATTTTCAGATCAGAAGTAACCATGAAAAACACAATTTCAGATCTGAAACTTATATCTGAAATAGATTTTTCAGATCTGAAAAAAAAACATAAAATAAAAAAAACTTCTGATCTGAAATTATAACTGAAATAACCCATTCTTCAAGTGTCCAACCATTATTGTAAGATTTCACAACCAATTTCAGATCTGAAATTTAGATCTGACTTAGACCATTTATGAGGAACGGGAACTTGAATGTTTTCAGTGTAATCGAACGTATTTTCTTACGTGCTATGCGCAAGTTGCGTTCAAAGCAATACTAGTGAAAAATTGTTCTTTTTAATCAAAGAAAATAACTTCATCTCTTGAAAAATGTTAATGTTTTAGGAAGAGGAAATTAACCGTGTGTTTTCGTATTCTGTGCAAATAAGCGATAGATACTTGCATCTCATGGATCACGTGATTCCTCTGACGTCACAGGACACAGCGTATGACCAACTGCAGACCACACTGAACAAACTTCAGTCACAACACATGTACTGTCCCACTTCATGGCTGGAAAATTTCTGAACAAGTATATATTAGTGAAAATGGAGAGGAAAACTTAAACATAATGAACCATTTCAAAGATTTCAAACTGAAAATAAAAATGAAGAAATTGAAGTATGAAAAATTTTGATAGTTCTATTGAAGCTTCCAATAGATTGATTTACAAAATACACACTGTAAGTGTCATATCAAATCTTATGAAAGACATATTATAATCAAATAATTTGATAGAAGTTTGAATTTTATTGAATCTGCGAGTTTCAAGAAATGCTTTTAGTTTCCGTGTTTTTGTTTTCAGCAAAATTCAATTTCAATATGCTTACGTGGCCCATTATAAGGTTCCGACCCCTAGAAAAATTTTATATGAAGAACAACTGTTAAGCAAAATTCCCCAAATTTGTTCTCGTGCCCTAATATTTATGACCGCGCAAGTCATTCTAAACGCTTTCTTGAATTCAATTTTAAGAAGTAAATCTTGATAAAAGCTGTTTCTGTGACATGCATATGATTCTTCTAAAATTTCCATTCTGAGTACTTCGAGCTCAGATCTTCCCGAAGTAAATTGCGGCCCTTTTATCATAATATCTTCTATATTTTCCAAAAGTCAACTTAATGTCAAAAGTTATATTGAAGTTAAATATGTTGCATATGATTTCATTGCAAAATCAATCAAAGTGCAGTTATTATTCGCAATTATTTTTCCATAAATAAATTTTAATAATAAATTTTCGGCCACCTGAACCTTTTTTGTACAAAAATCTTAAATCGCGACTTTGGGGCAGTGGATTAAAAATTTTCTTGAGAAAGGGCGAGGAAAACTGGCCAGCTAATTTTTTTAGATCAAATAAATTGATTTTGTGAGTTCTATCAGAACACCGTACTTCGACACTATTTTCTGTTTTATTTTATTCTGTTTTTTGACAAGTTTTTCAAAAAAATCAGAGTCCAAATTAGAGTGGCTAAAAGTGGGTCTTGTAAAATTATAACTAAGAAGGGAACCTTTCCCGGCTGGAAGTTTTTTTGCGACTAAGGTATATTCGACCATTGCGACTCAAACTGAGTATCCAAACTTTGGGTGACCGAAGAAATTTTGCACGACCCAAAAAAAATATGTAGCCAATTTGCGCGACCCAAAATAAGTATGTTGTGACCAACTCATTTCACATTTGGTATGTTGCAACTTTGCAAAACCGAACTGTTTTGTTCGACTTGCGCGACTTAAAAAAATGTTGCAATTTAGCGCGACGCAAAAACGTAAGTTGCGGCCATATCAACTCAAAATGGGTATGTTGCAACTTTGCGAGACACTGCGCGACTCTGCACGACCAAAAGCATGTTAAATTATAACTTATACTTTTCACGTGAAAGGTGCGGCAAAGCTTAAACAGAATAAAAACTTTTTCTGAAAACGAGTGTTCACTACTATAAAATTACATATCGTATTACATATCGTCATACTAGAATATGAATCCATCACTTTTACTTGATATGGAGTGTGGGGGTAACTTAAAAAAAACTTGAAATTTTTCTAATTTTTTTTTCTATTTTTTTTCTCGAAAAATGCATCAAAATTTTAAAGCGAACACTGCTTCATAGACCTTAAAAGGCAGTCGGAACATTCAGGGTTTCGCCCAGTTACAAGCAGTCTTGTTTTACTGCTTTTAAATTCAGTTCTCTTATTTTTACTTAAAAACTTAACTAATATTTTGAATAGCTCTTTCACTGAACATATCTTGCATGTTTCTCTAAATTATGTTTTCACACTGACATCTTTGTTTGGTTTTGCTTCATAAACCATATCAACTCAAAGAAAGTGGAAGGAGTTATAATCACTTTCAATCAAAATATGAGAGAACATTCACCAGAAACTTAAACACCGGAGGATAACAACAACTGGACTAAAACAAAAGGAGGACGAACTAATGAGTAACAAGTGCATCAAACCAAGTACGCATATACCAAAAAATGTGAAGAAACCACCATGCTTTTTTGTAATAGAGGCGGAGAGAGAAGTAAGTGAAGTAGCAGTGAAGGACACGATTCTGAAATTGGGGTCGAAATTATAGTAGATTCGGGGGGGGGGGGGGGGTCTTGATGTCGTTTAGACAGTAGAAACGTTTGAAAACTGAACTGAGCAGAGAAAAAGCAGAAGTAAAGAAGCTAACCCTGGTTGACCAAAACGGTACTCATAAACTTTTCATAACTGGAAATTGTATGACTAGCATTTTTTGTCTAAAAATTTTCCTTTTTAATTTATGATGAAGTGCCGACTTTTGTGTCAAAACAAGAACTTGTATGGAGTTTGTATGATACTTTTGAATGACAAACAATCGCAGCAAAACTGCTCGTATCAAGAATAAACTTAAATGCCTCGACTGATTTTTTGCTGTATTTTGCTTTCTTTTTTCCGTCTCCACAAGAAATTTTTACTGCCAAGTGTCAAATTTTGAAAGAAAAAACAGCGTGAGCTATTTTATGAAAGAAACAGATGGGTTTTCAAACGCATTCAAATTCAACTAGCGCATGAATTGCACCTTTGGTGCTTTAGATACATGGTCGAATGTGAAGAGCTTCCTAAAAAAGCAATATACAAAAAAAAGCAATATTTATTGCATTGTTAAAATAAACAGGGCTCTTTCATCAGGGTTTTCTGATTCATTTTTCGAAAGATTACGCTTGTGATTAGCAAGCGTTATCAGGTCGGATTGAAGACTTTTTTTCTGGTAAAATTAGTTTAACAAAATCAGTTGAACCACTATGCAGCTGACATGCAAATTGTCATGAAATTTCAAATTTAACTACTGGGCGGTAACCTGTTACTTCAGAGTAGTTCAAGGGAAGACTTGAAACATTTTAATTTTTTTTTATAAAAACTGTTTCTTTTCGACTAAACTGGTGTCTGGTCAAAGATTGCCGACCTTGATTCCGATTCGTAAGTTTGTTCAATTGTTAATTTTAATTTCAAATGTCTTGCTTGGCATGCTTGCCTAGAATTCCTGTTTAATAAAAATAGGTACTATGAAAGTGTATTGGGTTGTTTTTTTTTCTTAAACGCTTTGGAAATTTTTTCTCACAAAGTCTTCCAGCAATTTAAAAAAAAATGTTTATCCATAGAAAGACCGTCTGCATTCTTGTGTGCCTGCATAGTCATCTCGTCTCTTTTTTATTTACCCCTTTGTCCACATTTGACCCTTTGACCGATATTTTTGCTTTATTTTTTCGTTTTCTCAAAAAATAATCTAACAAATCTGAGATTTTGGTTTCAATGAATAGAACGGATTTGAAATTCTTTATAAGCGGTCTCGCCCAATTTTTAAAAAAAAATTATGTCCGACGGAAAAATCAAACTTTTGATTTTTTACCGTTTGCGAATCTCTTAAACTTTTCTCTTAAACTAACCTCCCAAAACTGAGCTTGCGGGTTCAATGGAGATAACGGATAGTGAAAAGCTCCACTGTATTAGCGGCCGCCCACAATTTCATAAAACAAAAAGTTATCGTATTTTTTATCGTTTTAGCGCTTTTCTTCCTCCCATATCTGATATTATGGGTTTGAAAAAACAGGTTGTCACAAAGTTTTTTTGACACAAAACATTATGGCCTCCGGAAAATCGAACATTTGAGTTTTGACCGTTTTTGAATTTTTTTTTACTTTTCTGGAGAACTACTGTGCCAAAATGGGTTTTTGGGTCTATCAAAACAACAAGTTGGGTGAATCTCTTCTGCATAAGCGGCTACGCCAATTTTTTTTAAACAAAAAGCTATGATTATCGGAAACGTCAGTTTTCTGATTTAATGACTGTCTTTTTGAATTTTTATCGATAAGTATCCTGCCAAATTTGATATCGTAGGTTTGATCAAAACAAGGTAGATGCAAGGTTACGTTTTTATTTTCTTACGTCCACTTTTTTAGAGATGAGTTATGGTCTTTAAACAAGTAAAAGTTTTGTAACCGGGCCTTTTTGTGGATGTTTTTTTTACTGCTCGAAAATTAAAGTGCAAACTCTCAGGTTAAGTTTTCAAACGAGAATCCCAAGTTTGGGAAACTTCCATATACTGCCGGACACGACCTGCTTTTACCAGAAAAATTTACGGATTCTGAAAAATCTGGAATTTGAACTTTTACCGTTTTTTAGAAACTTTTTAAATTTTCTTTAGAAAAATCCTATCAAATCTGATATGAAAATTTCAATCGAAGGAAGCGGCTGCGAGAGTTTTTCCAATAGAAGCGCTTAATTTTCACTTTTTTGTAAAAAGAAAGGTTGTTGCTGGGTGAAATTCCAAAACCTCAAAAACTTTTCTCTTCTAACTTAATTTATTAGAGAAACAACGAACGTTTTAGGCAAAGTCCAGTTTTTGAGATAACGTATTTCGTCTCGTATCAGTATATCAAATTCAAAAAATATCAAAACGTTCCTCCAGCTTTAGTTAGACCCGAGGTGTCCTTTATCGAGACATACGGAAATTTTGGCTCACTTAGTTTTTTTCAACGTTTTTCATTTTTTCGACTGATGCTTTTTTATGATTGTGTTGTGTCGCAAGTAGTGCAAAGCTCCGCTTCGCGGCTGTCTTTATAAAGTCAACTTCTAGATTATTTTTCATTGAAATGTCGTTTCTTTTAGGCCACAGTTTCATTAAAATTGTAACATTTCACAACAAAAAGGACTCTGAAAAGGTCAACAGCATACATTGGCTTTTTGATAGACCATAAAGTTCAAAAATTTTAACATCAATCAGACTTTTTTTCACTGAAAACTTTTAATAAATATTAACTAAAATGGTCATTTTTTTAGAAAAAAAGGTTTTGAAATTTCAAAAATAAATGATATTTGCTGCATCAATTTCCCTAGCAATACCACAATTATTCGCTGAAACTTTCAAGTTTTGCTATTTCTTTGAACGTAGAAGCCTAGAAAAAAATCATCAAAAACTCCAAGACTTGGCTAATTCAAAATTTTGATCTGTTCTAATTTTTTTAGCGTTTTTCAATCTGAGTTCTCAGAAAAGATTTGAAAAAATTGCTATATCTCAGGAATCAAAGAATTTTGAGCAGTATTTTTTGGATGTCAGATTTACGACCTCTGAGAACACCTGACAGCACCCCACTATAATGTAGAAAATTTCATATTTTGTTAATGTTTTTTTTTTAATTTGGTATTTTTTTAATAAAATATTGAAAAATTCGAAAAAAGCCAGATC